TCGTGATTTAGGATTCTAAACCAATTATTTCTTATTGTCCCTCTTGTATGACAAACACGTTCTTTTTCAACTGGAAATCCCTGCTTTAGTATTGTGCTTCTTATGTAGGCCATATTGAACGCAAGTTTATTGAAGTTCCACTTGGTGCTACTTGGGTCGAGGCAACTATGAAAACATCAGGCTTTGAAACGGCTCGAAGATTTTTCATCGATGCTGTTCAGGTAAAACATTTTGTGGATCTCATTAAGCATCTTGCCATTTCACAAATGACTGGATGTTCATTAACATTCTTTTGTGTGCAGATTTCCCCCCTCCAAAGGCCCAAGAAATGGGATAGTGTTGCTACATTTTCTTTTCCTTCTTCCAAAACCTTTGCCTTTCCTGCGGAGGGTGGCCTTACAATGGAACTAGCAATAGCTCAATTTTGGTCCAGTGGTGTTGGAATTCATGAAACCACTGTTGTAGATCTAGAAGTAACGTTTCTTTCCCTGTAGATAATTTAGTATTCTTCCAAAATGATGAAGTTTAACTGCAGGACACTTCAGCACTTTTGCATCATTATGTGCATTATCAATAGAAAAACGATATAGCTATCGTTACATTAAACCTTTCTATTCAATATTATTACCTTTTTATTCAATATTATTCCAGAATATAGGAGAATATTTTTGCAACACTTGTAATGCAGCAACCATAAAAATCATGTGTAGTCTTGGCATACTTTTCTTTTGATGTTCATGACTACATGTGATTGAATGTAAGTTTTAAGAGTCCAGCTTCTTACTTCATGGAAAGATGAACATCAATTAGTTTTTCCTTTTTTATTAAACCATCAGAAAGATGGCTACTTTGCAAACTAGAAGTTTGACTATTGTCAAAGCCTCTATGATCTCTATGAACTAATAGCTGCAGCAAAATTATGATTTAGAACCAGAAATAGAATAGTTACCTTGTTTGGCCTTGTCGATTAGGAAAGATTAACGTACTGTTCATCAGTTTTTTCCTCCTTTTTTTTTTAAATATTTTTTTAGCTGAATTTTACATGGTTGTATACACTTATTTCAAAACATATATGCAGCAAGGGAATGCTTTTAGTTCAGGCATTGACAACAGTTGTCTATTTTCTTGCTGGTTTTATAGACCATGTTGTGTGCGTTATGTTCTTCCCTTTCCCATATTTTTGCGTACGTTTTTGTGTGTGTGTGTGTGTNTTTCCTTTTTTTTTTTTTTTTTATATGTTTCATAGTTCAATAAGAAAATTCTTTTTTGGTCTCTGATTCAAATTTTCAGATTGCTTTCCATGGCATCAGAATCAACAACAAAGAAATTGTACTTCGTGGGGGTGAAGCACCTGCCCGAATTGATGCTGAAGCTCTTCTATCTGTGGAGAAACTTGGCCCTACAGCAGTACTAAATAAGGTAATAAGAGTTGTTTGTTACTACCTTTTCTTTTAATACCTTTGCAGCAAAGACTATGTTCATCATCGTCATCATTTTTCTTCTGTTTCTGGGTATATTTCTTTTTTCTTTGTTCACAGATGGAATCTTTTGCAGGTAAGAGTTCCATATCGTCCTATTGATGCTAAACTGAGCACGCTAGCAGCAGAGCGTGACAAACTGCCATCAGGCAAACAGACACTGGCACTAATATTGACGTGGGTTCTTGTTTAACACAGAATTACTTTCTTATGTGATCTGATTGCACTTATGGTGATGATACCTGACATACTCTTGCCTTCTGGTGTTGCAGTTACAAATTCAAATTGGAAGATGCGGCTGAGATAAAGCCTCAGATTCCCCTACTTAACAATCGCATATATGATAACAAGTTTGAGTCTCAATTTTATATGATATCGGATCCAAACAAGGTGAATATCTTTTGTTCTTAGATACTGACTTACTGTTATCCAGCGTGCTGATCACATGTTAATCATTTTGTCTTCTTCTTTCTGTAGAAAAGCTCGTATCTTTTGCAATCATATTTATTCTGTTCAAAAACTTGATCCCCGTGCATAGACATTTTAAAACAGCCCCTACAGTGAAGAAGGATATATGCCATATCAATAAGATTGCCTCTAGGCCTTTTATATATGCCTGATCTGATATGGGTCTGGTATAAGAAATGCTATTGTATTTTGGAAGACTGCATGATTGCAAACTCTGGGTATCTGCTTCCATGCGTGCACCTTAGTTTAGATGTTTGTATGATAATATGTGAGAATTTTATTAGCAGTCTTACTATTGAAGCGATAATTATGTGGAGATGTCCCAGTAAGAATGCGGCACTATTTCATTGCAGTCCAATTTTTTATATAAGAATTACTACAGATTTTAACTGTCAACGGCTTCTAGTACTGTTCTAGATTTTTATCTTTTAAAAAATGTGTAAATTCTGAGACTATATTATGTGTTTTTCATAAAAGAGTCAAAGATGGGTTTACCTGGAGTAGATCATACTTCTCAAAATCTTCGTCCAGAGATGACCCATGGTCAGAAAAAAGTCTTATCATTATCATCACAGCCCCTGAAGTCTAGCCCTTTATTTTATTCCTGTTGCCAAGTCTTTGAGTAGTCACAAGGAATGTGGCTACATAAGTAATTTATAAAATGAGAGTCCTAGTTCTTTATCTATGTGCTTCCTCTTACCAAATCTTCAGGTTGCCTTGTAGAATTTGTGGCTAGTCAATAAACTTGCAACATGTTGTTAACACCGCCCAAATCATAGATAGCTTTGAAAATATTCACATGCTAGTGAAAAATGAATAGAAAATGTTTCCACCACTTGAACAGTATAATCCTAGCATCTACTTGCGTGCAATTTGTGTTAAAAGTTTTAAACAGAAAAATGAAATCTACCATTTCAGATAATGAAATTTAGATTCCATTAATTGACGTCAAAAGTTGTTTGGCGTCCTTGCAATACAAAACCATGGAGGAAAATGTCCATGGATCACAGATTCCTGTTGTTTGTGCCACCATGTGTTTGTTTCAACTTGAAAGTTTTTGATGAATGCCAGCCAGATACAATGATTATTTGCATTAGTTACTGACAAACCTTGCAGTGCTAAAATATTAATTTATTATTATGTCATAGAACATAGTAACATGAAGGATCTTGGAATCGCAAATTATGGACATGGGCTTATTCTCTATACTTATTTCCATAGACCCTCGAGTTAACTTGCTTTCACTTTTCTTGTGTATAAAATTCTTGTTAGAAAGTGACATTAGTTTCTTGGGGTTCCTCGATGCGCTGGTTTTCAATTAGCTTACTGATTTCTTTTTCTGTTGTAGTGTGTATATGCCATGGGTGATGTTTATCCAGACTGTGCAAAACTTCCCAAGGGTGAATACAATTTGCAGCTTTATCTAAGGCAAGACCCTTTTCTTTGTGCAACTGCTAAGATTACAGTAATCATACAGACACACATCTGTTGTGGACTTCACTGTTGCTTTTGTCATTTGATTTAGTATTTGAGATAACAAATATTTTAGCAGGTGAAATTTTATTGATGTCTGATAATCTGAAACCTGTAATCCTTGTCTTAAATTGTGTTGTGCTAAGGTTTTTCCTATACATTTGAGTATTTCAAGCTATGCCAAAAGATAAGGTTGAGGCTAGAAGGACAAAAGGAAGAAAAAGACAAAAAGCTACATTAATATTTAAAGCTTGAGGAAGTTGGATACTGCATTCCTGATCTTCCATTTCCTTGTTTCAGGCATGACAATATGCAGTATTTGGAGAAAATGAAGCACTTGGTGTTATTCATTGAAAGAACCTTGGAAGAGAAGGTAGATTACCAACACTATACCAATCGAGTTGGAAATATTGAAACTTCAAATGGCTTTCTTGTAGATAATTTTACCTTCATCCTTCTAGGTGTCAGGATAACCTTTAACTTGACTGCATGTTAAACTTTATGGTTTTTCTTCGTTTGGAGATACCGGTTTGATGCTCTTATATTTTTCTTGATGTAGGAATTTATTCGATTGAGATTTTATGATCAACCTGATGGCCCTGTGATGGGTAATGGAAGCTTTAAATCTTCAACATTAGTTCCTGGGTATATTGTTTTCGTGCTAATCTTTGTCTCCTTAAGAGTCATTTTCATATGCTTATGTAATAACCTTCTTTACATACACTCATGGCAGTGTGAAAGAAGCATTTTATGTGGGCCCTCCAACAAAGGACAAGATCCCCAAGGTTTGTGTCCCTGTAAATCTTTCGTGTCTGTAAAAGACCACCAGCTATATCCTCCCAGTATTTGCAGCCCAATGGGAGAATTGCTATCAAAGTAAGTCAATTTGATGTTTAATTTACTTGCAGCACGCTCCAGGGGGATCTGAACTGGTTGGGGCAATTTCATTTGGAAAGCTCTCTTCTGCAATGAACGACGTGGGTAAAAATCCCGAAAAGAATCCTGTATCTTATGAGATATCATATATAGTGCCACCAATTCAGGTTATGACAGCTGATATCTTTGATAATTTCAATTTATTATGGTCTGAGAATGTGAATTCATGTCTCGCCTTTGTTAGGAGTTATTATATCATTTTTGATTATGCTTGTGTAAATCTTCTGTAACTGAGTTTATATCTTCTGTTCAGATTGATGATGACAAGGGTAAAGGTTTTTCTTCAAGTTGCACTAAGAGTGTGGAGGAAAAGTTGGAAGAAGAGGTAGTATTGCAAGTTTAGAGCATAATTTTAAACTTCATATGAATAGCAGCTTGCATTTTTAGTAGTTCTGCAGTCGCTTATGGTTTTTGGGATCAATTTTTATACGTTAGTTTAGAGATAATGATTACAAGTCCATGATGTTAAATGTAACCTCTTTACTGAATTTTATTTCAATTCTGTCTGTCTTTTCACCCACCTGAATTTCTTCCGCCAATATTGCAAAAGAAAATTCAGATTTTATAAAATCTACTCACCAACCCACCTTCCACCACGCACACAGGTAGGGAAAACGAAAACGGAACAATCGATAATCAAAATGCAGAAGGAAGTATGCACATTAGGATGATATTGTTGGCATCTATCATTGTTCTTACATATTGGGTGATTCTAAATTTCTTGATTATACTGAAGAATCTTCTTTTGGTATTTCAAATTGCCAAGATGCTTAATTTTTGAATTCACCTTGCCAACAGCTCCGCGATACCAAAATTAAGGTTCTAGCCAGTCTAAAACAAGGCACTGATGAGGAACTTGCTGCATGGAAGAAGTTATCCATCACGCTTAAGGTCACTATTCTCCACATCTTTAGGCATCTTTTTTAAGAAATCATGTATGTGTGGATTATAATAAGTACCTAATCGTTAATGGATATCATTTTGGACAGCATGATCAACTACTATCGGATAGCTTTTTCAATGTAATGACTAAATTATCTATCTTTAAGTTTTCATTAGCTTCCACTCTGCTCATTTCTTTGTTAGTTCATCTTTACCTTTTGAATTCTTTATATGCATTTTGTTATATATGTCTGATCATACAGTTCCTCAGCTCATTATGTGGCATGTTATTTCAACTGCTGAATGTTTACTTGCTACAATTTATCTTCAGTCGGAGTACCCCAAATACACGCCATTGCTTTCTAAAATATTGGAAGGGTTGCTCTCCCAGAAGAATGGTGAAGACAAGATTCATCATTATGAAGAGGTAAACTGAAAAACAAAGATCAGCTTTCCCGTCTTCTGGTGCCAAAAGATTACTAGCCGAAATTTAATTAAAATCTCAAATAGTGTTAGAGATGCATGCTTTTTTCTTTATATTCATTAAACATCTTGTCTATGATTCAAATATTTGTGATCCATAACTAATAAAAGCTACTCCGCAGATTATCACTGCTGCAGATGAGGTAATTGATAGTGTTGATACAGATGAATTGGCCAAATATCTTTCTCAGAAAACCGAGCCAGAAGATGAGGGTGCAGAAGTGAGTATCTAATTTTCTCAGTTGCTCCTCATTTTTCATCCTGAAATATTATGGAAATCCATCATTCCTCATATAAATTGTTATAGATTGTTCTTACACTCTAGTAATATTCTTCATTACTTAGAAACTGAAAAAGAAAATGGAGACAACTCGCGATCAGTTGGCAGAAGCCTTGTACCAGAAAGGAATAGCATTAGCAGAGATC